CATAGAACTAGTGCAGTCCATAACAAAGCAAAGGTCAACTTCCATGAGATTATGTATATAACTTTTATCAGTTATATAAGTGTACAAATAACGTATCAGATAATAATAATTAACTAAAGAACAATTTGATTTATTAGTTAATATGAGAATTTTGTTCTAAGATGAGTATAAATTTATGAAATATCTTTTATTTTTTTTTTTAAAATCGATCACAGAGAATTGTTATTGTATGTGTTTATATATACGGTAGAAGATATATAAATTAACTAAACGAGAAAAAAATCAAGAATTCAGATGCTGTGCGACAATAAATTTTTTGTAACTTTGTAATAAACTTTCTTTGTTTCCAAAAGGGATTAAAAAGGATTATCTAATTCCAAATTGAGTCATTAATGGTAATGGCAACTTTTATTTGTTTTAAAAATCAAAATCGATGGGAAAAAAAGCGTAAAAAAATGACATTTTATCTTATAAATAAAAATAAAATAAAATAAAGATAAAAATAAAAATATAAAAATAAAATAAAAATAAAAAATAAAAATAAAGATAAAAATAAAATAAAACAAAATATATAACTAAATCGGACCTAAAGTAGATATTCTTAGCTTTTTCACAATTTATATATCATTGGAACTATTCAATAATGATTCTCTTAATAACTACTACTCCTGAATGAAATAACAAGGTAGCTTCAAAAAATTTGGAGATTAATGCTTCCGGGTTTCCTTCTACGATCTCGAGATCAAACACTGAAAAACCTCAAAATATGCTATGAAATGTATTAACCATTTTTTCGGTAAGGTATCAAAAAAGTATATGTTTGCCGATTTTGCATTTTCTATAGCACGTTTTCTGTAGTTAGATGTCTTGGCCGCCTTTCGGTTAAGCTTTGGATGCTAATTAAACGACGACCATGTAGTGGAGCGTCACCGAAGTGGGAAAAAACGTGATTTTCATATTGACAGGTCATTTGGGTTACGGCTGCATCAAGACCTCCTAGAAAGTCTTCAGGGATATCTCCACCGCTCATGGCTGAAACTGTGGATAAGTCTCTTTCTAAATTCATGCATCCAGTGAAGGGAATATCAGCAGGCGGTCAGCACCATAACAATTTATCAATTCGAAGTTGAGAGCTCATAAATATTAATTTTAGCATTTATATCATTTAAATAAAAATAAATTTTTTTTTTTTAAAAAATAAACTATTTTATTGTCTTTGTATAAGCTTTCAAGTAATCTATAGTTACGTACAATATATTTTGATAGTAAATAATGCAAAAATATAATCAATGAAATCATTAAGATAATTCTTTATTATAACTGACTTTATAAACTTCAGCATTTATATTACAGATTAAAAGAGAGCATTACGTTTCGCTTGAAATATTTGAACAATTGAATCGTAAAAAAACTCCGATTGCCTGTCAAAATAGTGAAAGTATTTTTGGCCAGAACTATTGATCAATATTAAAATTTTGAATGCAATCATTAAATATAATAAACATCAGTAAATTTAGAATATAATGCATTTCTCAATTTCTCTCTCTTCGGAATTCTTCAATAATAAAAGCATTTAATAATTTCTTGTTAATTTGAAATTTTGAGCATAATTGTAATGGAAAAGCAAGAAAACAGGAACAACTTTTGATCGTATAGGTTCTTAAATCACCTTGCATACAATTTTAAAAATGAGAGAAACATCCTTAGTAGTGTTACACTGGATATAATTTCGCCCGAAAACTCCATAATTCCGCATGAAAATCGCTTTCGATATTTGCAGTTAGTCTTTTGAAGATCATTTACCAGCACCAAAGGTGACAGTATGAAAATGTCAAGACGCTAGGCTGTCCTAATAATTATTTTTTTTATAAATACGAGCCGGAAATCCTTAAACAACTTAACATTCCACGCACGCCCATATTATATTTTGCATACCTTTAACCCCTTTGCGATATTTTCGCTTTCGCCGTTTTAACTTTTTAGATTTCATATTTGTAACTTCGTTTATTTTTAATTTCCGATTTTTCTTATTATTTTATTATTCAATTTTTCGTAATTGTTCGTCATAGCGTAATTATAGTTTATTGATCGGCATTTACTTTTAAGATATTGACATTGCGAAACTAGAGCGCCGACGTTGAGGCAACACTGATTAATTTGATAATATTAAATAAATATTTTGTCACATTAACTTCATTTTTATCAATAAAACCTTCTGCTTACAAAATTGTATAAACGAAAGAACTGAATACAACAGTAGCATGGAGTAAACTCAATAAAACCCGTTAAGAAGGAGAATAAATATTTGTTTTGGACCTAAATTTTCCTGCGTAGTCTAATTTATTATACTCTAAGCAACTTGAAAAAAAGTTGACGTAAAATTATTGTTTATGCAATGAATTACGTAATTATTTGGTAATAACTATCGCATTAGACATACACTTTTATGATGACGTGAAATCGTTCGGATGATCACGTGATTTAAAAACGAACATATTAAATCATATGATCCGTAACTCGCATCGCAGCTAATTTTGTTTAACTTACACGTTTAATGTGCTAATTTGATGAGATTATTAAAATAAATCGAACCAATTATTAAAAGAATGCTAATAAACTTTGTTATTTTAAATTATTTAATTACACAATTTCGCGCAAAATTCTATTAACCTAATTCAATATTTTCTAAAATAACGATTCATCGAAAGAGATTTTTTTCTAAAGTAGATAATATGGGATCTTTGCAATAGAAAAGGGGGAAACGGCTGGAAAAAATAAAAAATGAGTTATTGCTAAATCTGAACATATTTTGATCTAAAAATCATATTTGGCATATAAAAGTAAAATAGATTTTTTCCGGCTGTTTCCCCCCTTTCTATTGCAAAGGTCCCATATATAAATATATATATATAATTAAACGTGTAAATTATAAATAAATTCAGGCTCATCTATAAAGTCTAAATTTAATGTACATTATCGCCAGTTTTAACATGTTTTTCTATATAAAAAGTTTAATTTTCAATAAAAAAATAATCCGTTAGTATTGATATGGTAGTCAATCATATGTATAAATAAAGTTCTTACTTACTAATAACGTGAGAATTGATTTCTGATTCTTCAATATCACGTTTTCTTGAAGAATTCTCGGATGAAATAGATGAATTTATTAGACTTGTATGAGTTCTACTTTGATGTCGAGTATTTGAAGTAACTTGAGTTGTCGAATTTACATTCATTGCAGGTTGGCTATAATCAAAATTTTCTTTATATTAACAATTCTTTATTTATAAAACAAATAAAAGATTTTAGTTTATTATAATACCGTGAAATATCAAATTCAAATTCTTTAGAAGTATATTCTGATAAATAATATTTCAAAAAATAAACAAATAATTGTTTAAACTTAATTGCCATGAACTGTATTTTCACCATTTAATAATATATTAACGTACCTTCATTTTGATACCGCGTATTAGATGACAGTATATTAGAATTATTTGATAGAAACGAACTAATTATTGCAAATATATTTTATAAATTATTTATATGTTACACCATATTGATAATTAAAATTTACATACCTTTGATTATTTATATCATATTCATGTTCCTTCGAAATATATCCTAGCATAAAATAGAAAAAAATAATAAGGAACGGAAAAATTAAAACCCACACTAATTAACTTTTATTAACATTATTACTATATTATAATTTATACCTTGCTTCATATTATGTGATTTAAGAAGTGATTGAATTGAAGATCTAGAAAATGCTCTACTTGTATAAATTGCTTTTGGGTGCTTTTTAATAAATTCAGGACCAAGTTTCTCTAATTCAATTAATACCAGTCGTTCATTTTCAGCTTGATTAAATTGCTCATCAAATTTATCCCCGCGATACCAATACCAACTACCAACAGTTTTACGAACTTCTTTTATAGGAAGTCTTTTTAAATGATCAGGATCCCAACATTTTTTCATTAAATTAGCATAACAATCGGGAGTATCTTCCGTAATTTCAGGTCGTTTACCATCAATAATTTCAATAATCAGATGAGTATCATGTTCAATGTTAGCAAAAGGTTTACAGCCAGTTGTAAGTTCCCACATAATCATCGCAATGCTATAAACATCAGATGCTTTTGAAAATGAAGCACCATTAAATACTTCAGGTGCTATGTAAGGTATTACTCCATATATTTCATCATTTGATGACGTATTATTCGCAGGCCGTGATAATCCAAAGTCACTAATTTGCCATTGATAATTTCTATCATACGCTTCAACAAATAGCATATTTCCGCTGTGCATATCTCGATGTATGAGATTTTTATTATGAATAGTTTCGAGCCTAATTTTAAAATAAATTAGTAAAGTAAAATATAAATAAATATAATCAATATAAATAAAACAAAATTTAAATACCCATTTAAAATTTGCCATAATATCCCTAATTTTTTTATCCATGTTAATTTGGTAAAATTTATTTGTAAATAATCATGTAAATCACCTCCTGCATAATCCATTACTAACATCAAATCATTGGTTTCAGGATCTTTTGTAACGCCATAACATCTCATAACACGATTAACTTCTTGATCAGAACAACAATGATGATGTGATCTTAACTAATAATAACATTTAGATTATTTTAGATTATATTATATAAAATTACATTTCAAACATAAAATATTGAATTATTACCTCATTTAAGAAAGATTGGCTAATATTCATTGAATTTAAAAACCTTTTTATAGCAACGGTTTCAACTTTACTTTTGTAGTTTGAACTGTTATTACGAAATTTAGATATTTTACCTAAACAATTTGCTTTATAAATAATGCCAAATCCCCCTTGTGCTATTTTTTTTATATTTCTAAGTTTAGAAAATGGAATCCATTCAATTGCTGAACATGATGAAATTCTTTTCTTAAAAGTTCCATATACAAATTCTGGATGAATATTTCTAATTTTTATGTCATCATTGATCTGAATATTACGATTATATTTTGTACTGAAAATAAACTCATCTATAGAATTGTTTCCACTTTCAATATTAATTTTAGTTGTTCTTTTGCATTTTCTACATTGAGAATAGTCGGTAATTCCAAATATGATGCTTATTGTTAAACAATATCTACATCCATTGTAAGTTATTTGGCAAATTTCACACCATTTGAGACAATCAGATACGTGTTTCATGAAATTTGCACAACTTTTGCAATTCATACTAGTTGAATGCCACCATGGTAAATAAAGAATTGGAACAAGGCTTTTAGTTAAAGGCGATTCTACCCATCCGTAAGACATTTTATAACAATCTAAACATATCCTATCGGAATCGATGATGTTTTTCATCGACGTCACCTGATAATCCAACTTCCCACATAATTTACAATCCTTAATATTGTCTAATTTTTTTAAATCAATTTTAAGACAATAATCATGTACTTGATTAAAATATAAAATATCAGAGCAAGTTTCACACCATTCTTGAATGTCTTGCGTGCAAAAATCCGCATTCCTAGCTTCATGTTTATTACAATAAGTACCATTTGTAACTATATGTAGATCCAAATACGTATTTTTATCAGTTATGCAACTAATATACTTGAATAAGCAATTTTTACAATAATATTGGTGAAATGGTGTCATAGTGTATTCATTTCCACAATGACATTTATCACCAAGTACGTGTTTAAAAGAAATAAACGTAATTGGTATAGGACTGGATTTTAATTTTGGAGTTGGATCAAAATCATCTTCATTATTTGTAAGAGTAAGTTCCATATTTAAGAAAGTTTAATAAAAAATAATGTCTGGATTGACATTTTATATATTAATTAATGTTACACACAACATTTCCGACTCGAAAACTTGCATGGAATTCTAAAATATTTTTTATCAGTTAGGATCGACAGACAGTTTACGTATTCAATTTTAAACAAGAAACTTTAAATTTGTCTTATGCCGCTTATATATCATGAATAAATTTTAGTAAAGGCAGCCACGATAACGGAATCTTGGTCGAAATATAACCTTTATGGAACTAGAGCTCCGTAATGGTCGGTCGGGAGTTAAGGCATATTAGAATCGAACCCGTTAATAATTACAGGACCCGAATTCAAGGGGTATATTAATGCAGAAAATAAAAAAATTGTCAAAAATTTATTTATTTTTTTTTAATCCTATTTTTTTTTTTTTTTTCTTTACATCTTTTTCCACCAGAATTTCAAGCACATAAATAATACGTTGTTACATTTTTAAATAAAAAATAGTTTCAAGTTTTTACAATTCGAATTGTTAAGTGACCAAGTTTTCATATATTTAGTATAGTTAATCACGTCTTTGTATTATTAGCGCTTCAAAATCGTGTAATAGTTTCTAAATCATATTTGGAACAGTTTTTGTAAAGGCTATATATATATACTGTATCTCTTTTATAAAGGATTTAGGGTCCGGTTAATAAAAAAAAATAATAAAAAAAATAAAGAAATAAAAAGATACGATACATGGAGAAGAATTTATCCTGGAAAACATAAGATCTTTACAAAAAGGCTGTTTTTAAGCACAATATAATTTTTTTAGAGTAAATTGTAACGATGTTTTACCCTACAAAAAAGGCACCATAAATGTCCGTAACGTCCGGAAAACGTTATATGGACGTTACCGGGCGATCTTATTTCATATTTGAAAAATCAACACATGAAAGCAATTACCTAAGATACAGTACAAATAGAACTTATCATTTTTTGGTATCCACTGTCACAAATTTCCATCTTTGGGTATAAAGTACGGAGTTGACAGGAGTCTATATTCAACATGAGACCAGATCCTTTGTTAAATCCCTTTTTAGTCTGTATTGACCTTTTGATCCTCATTACGTAAAAAACCTATTGTTATATAAACATTGAAGATCATTTTAATGAACGACAATTTGTAAACGTTGTTAGATTAATTGAAAACATGTACTGCGCATCTCACTTACTACAAAAATTTGGTTTCAGGAAATTGCATACTCGAGTTGGATAAGTATTCAAAAAAAGACGACCTAGTCAAGAAATTTTAATTTATTTCTTTCTAGCTACTGGGTGATTAATTATTTTCACTAGATAGTTATTTTAAATTTTTTTTTTCGTTCAATTCTTTTTTGAATTAAAAAAAATGTAAAATAACAAAAATAAAAATTATACGTTTCTTTAAGAAATCGACAAAATATTGTTTTGGAATTTGCATATATTTTCTTCCGATTTAATTGGTCTTTGCATTTATATTGATCTGATATTCGAAGATTCGTAAAAGCTCGTTATTGATAACAGATGGGTGAAACCCAACTCCGCTCTTTTTTACTTTCATAATAACATTCAATTTTCAAAATCAGTTTACAATGACTCAAATTTAATAAAGTAAAACACTTTATCTGAAACCCCTTGTTCAATATTATTTCTTTATATCAAATATGAGGAGAATTCCAATGATGAGGGGCTTAATGAAAGTAAATAAAGAATATAAATTAATCACATGCCTTTTGTTTATAATTTGAGATATTTTTATTTTCAAATTAAATCAAAACTATTTTAACATATGTTAATTATTAATTTTTGTATGGAACTAAACCGCCCCGTTATTTTTATTTTATTTTATTTTTGTTTTTAGTTTTTTTACTTTCAAAGAAAAATAAAAAAAGATCACATTATAAAGAGGGCGGACGAATCATCAACATTTTAGAATGGGAGAGGAGTTAAGATTAGAAAGATAATTTTGGAAAAATGAATTAATGCATGTAATTTGAAATCATGTCATTGCTCCCAGTCAGCCACATCGCAAATAAAGATCAATATCACAATGAGATATGGATCAAAAACGAATGCAAGCTCTTAAAGCATACAAGTTGACCAAAGTAGTAAAGAAGAATTTTTTAAAAAAAAAGAGGAGGTCTTTTACAATTCAAATTTTCAGGGTTAGTTTCCGGGATGCTACCTATTCCAGGTTAAATTTCAATTTAATCATGCGAATCAATGTATTAGGGCATATAGACACCCTGATCACTATCAAGAATAAACAAGGAAATATTCAATTCAGGAACAATGCATGGTCGATAAAAAGCGCACACAAGAAAGCTTCAACGAACCCAATTTTAAATGATGATTATGAAAAAATAAAGATAAAAAAAGTGATGTTGTAATGGTTTTAGGTCATCATGTTTCACATTACGCCGGTTGTCTAAAAATACGCATTCGTTATTGATTCAGCGATAACATCATCAAAGAAAAAGGATTCAAAAAAAAAAAAAAAAAAAAAAAAGGATTTAAACCGATTCTAGATGGAAATTTCGGAATTCCGATTATCATTCAATAAAAGGATGTAAATGACTTATTAGGAAAAAAAAATTGAATCGATTAAGGTAACATAAATGTCAATGAAGATCAAATACGTTCTCATGTGATTGTAACATCTCGATCGATAAATTATTAATTCACTTTACCATTTAACATTCAAACTTTTTCCTAGCCGTTGTTAAAAGATTGTATAAATACGCTCGAGAAATTTTTAACAGCATCAAGTTACAACACCGTAATATCAAAGCATTAGCGTCAATTATCGACAAATAATTCAACATGTCTACTCCCATGGAAAGGATTTTTTCTCATTTGTTCCGATCACATCGAAATCGCAAAAACCAAAGTTTTCACTATTTTTATCTCATCAATGAGGATGAAATTAACAGACTACAATTCCAGCATTACGTTTATCAACAAGTATGGGGAAGCAATTTTTCTGCTCCCGTAACAGAATTATTGAAAACCGATGGCACAAGAATCCTTGATGTTGGGTAAGCTTTTAATTCTTCGTATTTTATTTTACGATAAATCATTCATTCTCTTTCGTTTGATTAAAGATGTGGTCCCGCAACGTGGTTATTAGAGGTGGCGACGGAGTACAAAAAGTCAAAGTTTACAGGTGTTGACATTAAGCCTATTTATCCAATTCACACAAAACCGTGCAATGTCGAATTTGTTCAGACTGAGGAACTGACTCGTTTACCATTTGAAGATAACACATTTGATTACGTATTCTGCAGAGCGATGATGTTCGCTTTTAAGATTACAGACTGGGAGATTGCCATAAAAGAAATTTGTCGGGTTTGTAAAGTTGGTGGTTATGTTGAATTCATGGAAAAAGATATTGTTATTGAAAATGAAAGAGAGTTCACGAAAAAACTAAGATTTCGACGTAAGTATCTTTTTTTTTTTTTTTACAAATTTTTCAAGTTACGTGGTTAGTAATCTGGATTTTTTTTTTAGTTATAGAAGAATTGGTGAAAAAGAATGTTGAGCCGATAATTTCACCAAAAATTAAAGATTACATAAATAAAACAAACCAATTTACAAGTATAAAACATGAAGAAAAAACAGTTACGATAGGTGGGGCCGATAGACTTAGCAAGGAATACAAAGAATTATTTACGTGGGGGGCTAAAAATTTGAAGGAAGCAATGAAAAAATCCGGTTTTAATTTGGAATCGGATTCAATTGAGAAAAGCATAAAGGAAATAACTGACAATTATGGTTGTGATAAAATTCATCGAATATGGGCTAGAAAAGTTCCAATGGTTAAGGCTTATTAATTTTTAATTTTAGAATAATTCGAAAAATGAGATATAGTACATTGTTAAATAATTCATTTATTAGAGAAGTTTTATTTAAAAATTTTAATTTATTGCTTTATTAAGGCACATTAAAAACATTATGATATTTCATTCTTGACGCGTTAATTTTTTAAAAATATGATTCACGTGGCCAATGTACACGACTGTTAAATAAAAGTTCTTTTATAAAAATAAAAACTCGATTTGAAAATGTATCAAAATGTTTAAAGGCAACGTTCAGAAGCCAAAGCTAACTAAATTTAGAAACCTTACCTTTCATTGAGTTCCCTCGAATTTTCCAATTGAAGTTATCATATGATCTTACGCCGTTTTGGTCACACCCTATGATCAAAAATATTCGGACATTCATTTGATTGTGCCCATGAAAATTTTAAATCTCGCGACTTTATTTAAATTTTCAGAGAAACCACTGAATAGTTCGTTTAAGACTCGTCGAAATAAATAAATAAACGCGAAATCGTAGGATAAAATTAAATATAAATTTGAAAAAGAGGAGGTTAAACATCATTTTGATATATGAATATTGTTAGAACGATTCAATAGTACTCGGGTACTAATGAAAGATGAGACAGTTTTTTTCAAAACAAACAATACACAATAATGGAAGAATGTAACACGAAGGTTCGAAACCTTCCGATAGAAACCTTCCGATTAATTCCGTTATCATCCTAAAACACATTTCCTTTTTTCTTTTTCGATTGTTGAATTAATGGAGTTTCCTGGAAAATTTTATGAGTATTCCTTTGTAACAATCAAAATAAAGCAAGTTGATTCGGTATTTCCAATAATAAAATGATTGGTTTTACCAATTTAACGTAGTAATGTTTGGTAACGTATAGGAATTTTTCCGCGTTCCATGGTCACTTCAAATTAGCGACGGGGACAATAAGCGTCATATGATGATGATGCATCATCTCTTTGAAAGAGTTCAAATTCGAACCCATTTTGCTTTGATGATGAGAATTTTAGGAAACGTATCAAAGAAGTCGAATTAACTTTTTAAAGATATTATTCATGTTAATTAAAAATTCCGCATTTGTAATGTTCTGTTTGATCATTCAGATTTCTCTAATTCTTTAAAGAACCATCTAATTTCCATTTTAAGGGAAATAATGAAAAAAACATGAATAATTCAAATGCGTTTGGAGTGGTTTTTGTTCCTTTTTTTTTTGTCTTAACCAACGTATATATAAAGACATCCTCTCTCTCTGGCTCTTCGAGAGCATAAAAAAATTCTAGCGAAAAAAAAAAATTCATAAATATAAAATGGGAATTATTATTTGTAAACCGAGGATTTATAAAACCGATTCGAATGAGGAAAGTAAGGAATCATTAATGTTTATTGAACCAAATGACGAGCCAATTGTGACAAATTATTTATTTCCTAAAAATGACGATGAAATTGATAGAATTCATTATCAGCATTACATCTATAAAGAAGTATGGGAAGGGAATTTTTCGGCACCCGTTGATAAATTATTGGAAAGCAGTACAAAAGTGTTAGATGTAGGGTAAATTTTTCGACATTTCCTTAAATTTCTTTATAGGGTGGAAAGTGTCCTTTGCTTCAATAACTCGATTTCTCCTTTAATAGTTGCGGACCTGGAACTTGGACAATGGAAATGGGCGAATTATTTCCTGAAGCCCAATTTGTTGGAATCGATTTTATACCAACTTACCCTTCAGAGATAAAACCACCCAATGTTTCATTTGAGAAACATGATATACTTGAAGGTATTCCATACAAAGATAATACATTTGACTACGTTCACATGAGATTTATGATGTTTGCGTTTACCCCTGAGAATTGGAGAACCGTCATTGAAGAACTTATCAGGGTATGCAAACCAAATGGTTGGATTGAATTAATGGAAGGTTGGTATCTTGTGAGTGCGGTGGTATGTACGTAAATGAGATGTTGATTTTTTTTTTTTAAAAAAAATAGAGGATTTAGAAATTCACGGCGCGGGTCAGAAAACAAGCCAACTTAGTAAAGCCAGTTAAGCGATAAAAGAATCTCTTTACATGAAGAATCGCCTATAAATTTTCTCCAAAATTAATTTCGAATTAACTTTATCTTTTAGTTGTCGAAGAGATGAAGAAGCGAGGGATAGAGATCGTCATCACTTCGCAAATATCCAAACTTTTGGATAGCCTCAACCCCAACTCGGAGATTATTAAACCATGTAAAAGTCAAAATTAGGTAATTGGGGTGATAAAGTAGGCATGATGCAATTAAAAAATCTAAAATGGGGTGCGAAAAATTTGGCTAACGCTGTGAGATCGAATCAATTGTTTAAAAATAATGATGGTGAGGATGATGATTCGTATAGTAAGATGGTGGATGAAGTTTTCGAGGAATGCGAGAAGGGGGAAACTTATGTCATAAGCCATAGATTTTACATGTTAAAGCACGATGGTCATGTTTCATAGTAGGAAAGAATGGTTAGATTTTAATATTTTATCCGTGAAATAATAATTAATTAATTTCCTTCTCCGAATATACTACCCACCCCTAAATAGATTATAATAATTTACTGTACAATCATTTTTTTATGTTTTAATAATTCTTAATAAATATTTAGACTTGCATATATTAATTTAGTAGTCAATCTGAGGTTAGTGGCACGTAAAAATTAAATCCCGACTTTTTTTTTTTTTTTTTAAGAATTTGTGGTGACAAATGAACAAAGAAATACTATTTTTTTTTTTTTTATTTTAATTTTTAATTTTTTTATATATACTATTTCTCTGTCAAACGATAGTTACAAAAAGTATCAGAGAAGGAAGAATTTATAAAGGAAAGAATCTATAAAAGAAAGAATTTATAAAAGGAATGTATAAGGGTAGGAATATATATAGGAAGGAATGTATAAAGGAAGGAATATATTTTGTGCAAGGTTCATTTGTGTTTCTCTATGATATGTATTTCGGTTATTTACAATATATATATAAGAAAAATGCTATGTATAAATGTATAAATGTATAAATGTGCTTGGATAATGAAAATTTAAGTGTATCTATATGAAAATAATAAATAAATGCTATGTAAATGTATGAAAATATAAGAAAGAGTGTAAGTGTCTATCTATATGAAACAAGTTAAAAAAAAAAAAAAATTTACAAATTAATATAAATTAATTGAAGCGAATGCGTCATCCAAAGAGAAAAACTCTCAACAATTCTTGATCCAGTATCTATGAATCTTATCATAGCTTTTGCGTTCTTGCAATTGCTTTAAACAAATTTCAATCGTTTCGTCCCATTCATCTTCGCTGAATCCGACATCAGTCATCACTTTTTTCAAATTTTTGGCTCCCCAGGAGTATAATTCTCTGTACAATGTGCCCAATTTTCCTCCCCACTCGCCAAAGGGAATGATTTTTACCTCATGTTTTACTTCAGTATATTGTGATAGGATTTTATGTAAGATTGGTGTGATCACCACCTCAATATTTTTCTGTTCTCTTAATTCATCCGCCACTAAGAAGAAAAGGGAAAGAAAGGAATGAGCGGTTAGAAAAGTTCATTCGCATAAAAAAAAAATAAAAAAAATAAATCAACTATATGATACTTACTAACTGTGCGAGCGGACTTGCAAAATGGACCTTCATTATACCAAAAGATGTCTTTTTCCATCATTTCAATAAAACCATCAGGTTTACAGACTCTAATCAATTCTTTTATAGCAACCTCCCAATTTTTCAAGGTGAACGCGAAAAGCATGAAACGCATATACACGAAATCAAATGTATTATCATCAAAAGGTAGACCTTCAAGAACATTTGCTTGAACGAATGAAACATTTTTTGGCTTGATCTCTAATGGATAGAGTTCCGCAACATCGATCCCTGTAAAATGGGCATCTTGATACTCGGATGCCATGTCTAATATCCAGGTTCCAGGTCCACAACTGTATGATTGAAAGAGAAAATGAAGGTTAATTACATATCTAATGATGGGAAAATCTTTTTTTTTTAAAAAAAAAAAAAAAAAAAAAAAAAAAAAAAAATGTTCTACATACCCAACATCTAAAACTTTGGTGGACTCATCTTGTAACATTTGTTCAACGGGAGCAGAAAAATTTCCGTCCCATACATGCTTATACATAAAATGTTGCGTTTGACTCCTATCGGACTCGTCCTCATCGACAGGATATACGTAATTCAATTTTTCAGAAAATTTACAAAATTTTCTATTCCCGACATAATGAAATGAGTCATCGGATGATGTGATGGTATTTTGTGAAGTAGTGGTTTCTGAAGAAGATGATGATGAAACGGTTGATAAAGATGACATTGAATGTGATGATAATTGTTGACGATGCTTTTTCTTTGATTTGAATACGTTTAAGGAGTGAGATTTGGAATTTACTTTTCCCATTTTTGATGATGATGATGATGATGATGATGATGATTTTTTGAATGTTTTTAAGGAATTCTCTTTTTTTTTTTTTAAAAAAAAGAAAAAAATAAATTTAACCTTTTAAAATAAATGATTGTGATAATATAATAAATATTATTCGATCAACGAAAAAAAGTGGTAATATAAAATTGATAAGGTTAAATTTTTTTTTTTCTTTTTAAAAAAAAAAAAAAATCTTCCCTCTCTTTATCAAAAAGAAAGTTTTTTTTTCTTTTAAGTAATTTTTGGTTTTCAATATTTTTTTCGTTTTCACAAAAAATATCCATTGCTTTTATAATCAGTTTTTTACTTTATCACATGTATTATTATTATTCATAATGTTAATAATTGTTTTATTTAAGGAAAAAAGAAGTTTAAACAAAGAAAGACATTATATGGTGACACAGAAATGAAAAAAATAGCAAGATTAGTGGAATGATTTTTAATTTAAAAAAAAATTCAAAAAAATTCGTTGCTCAAGTGGTTACGCAAGAACGTATATGGTTAATACATTATAAAATCACTAAGGAACAAAGAGATGTATCACCAGTGACGCTAGTTTCTGAAGCCTGTTTTCTTAATTAGGAAGATAACTTTCTATAAAATGTATTTCTCTTATGTGAACACAACATTTTAAAAACAAAGAGATGTGACACGGGTTAGGTTGGTGATGAGCTGTGCAGGCCACATGGTTAACAAATTATCTAAGCTGGTCGGGTAAACCAAAGATGCCATTTTCAAAATAAATTGTTGAATTGTAAATAAAAGTGTAAGATCTCGTGTAATAAAGAAACACACGTAGAGAAACAAATCCTTTTAAAAATTGAATGGGGATTGCCCCCAACTCCATCTTTAATAGTTTCAAAATTGGGACAAAAGATTCGGAGTAGAAATTTGATTCCGAAAATGGTAATATTGTCAAAAAAATATAACAGCCTATTTGGATGTGCATCATGCATAAAGTACTCCTTGAAATCATTTCTTTTTAAGCGAAAAAAAAAACCCCCCAACTTAAAACATCTTTAAGCCTTTAAGCCATCTAATTACATCGAAAACATATTTATTGAAAAATATTTTATCAGAAAGAATAATTAATTAATTAATTAACAGTATGAAACTCCCTTTAGAAAAAAGTTATCTTGAGGTCCTGATTAAGAATAAATTGTGACAATCACAAAAAAACAATAAATTTTTAAGCACTCGTGGGTTTATTTAGTTTATAAATAAAAATTAAATAAATAAAAAAAGGATGTTCATAAATGTTTTTTATTTAGTCAATTCACCAAAAGTTTTTTAACCCCATGATTGTTATCTATAGATGGCGAATGCTTGAATTAATCTTTAATTTTTTTTTTAAAAAAAAATACTAAGAATTCGAAAAATGCCATCGATGAATTAAAACGTGTCATTTCATTCACTTCCTAATTATCATAGATTTTCTATCATTTTGTCGCGGTGAATTATAGTTGACCATAAAAGAAAATATTTCTAAGAATTTTCTTGATGTAATCATCACCTTCAACTAATAATAATATACCACATGTGTATTATTTATGTAATGCATAAATTAAAAATTAGACCAAAAAAAAAAAAAAAAATTTGCGGAAATAAATATGCTGGTGTAAATTTCTCAAGCACAAAATAAATGTTGAATGTGAAATTATTTGTAACATCAAAAGAAATTCAGGATCATTGGTGGTTCTTTACAAAAATACTTGCATACCAAGCAAGTCACAAAAATTTCGACTATCTATTTATGAAGAACAGTCTTTCCTTTGATCCAATATTATAAGTTAATTTGTTGATTTCTAGATTTCTTTGACAATACGGCCGAGTTTTACATTATGGTTTATTTGTTTTTTTGTATTAAAATGGTCATACCCACCCAACCGTCTGCCTTTTAAAATAAAACGTTAATATTTCGCAATGTAAACCACTTACCCCACCTTAAACAACAATGACAAGACCTACAAAGAAATAGCTCGCATTAATAATCCAATCAAGTTTAATTTTCGACAAAAAACTGTAAGTCTTTGTTCCATTATCAAAAGCTTATTTTCATTAAAGTTGATCGAATAAAGAAAACATTACGTTACGTGCTGCGCTAATTTACGAAATTGCCTTTTCTAGTTTGTTTGTTACAACAATAAAAAAAAAAATAATAATAATGGTACAATTTATTATTTATGACTTCCTTACAATATAAATTAAGATAATATACAGCTTCGAGAGTTATTTCATTGAGAATAAATTGTCTAATGTAGTGGTTGTACTTTTTTTTTTTTCTTTTTTTTTTCTTTTTGTGTTATTTTATACACAGTATATAATATATAAATGTTTTATTGAATATGAATAATCGCGTGTAGATTTCTTTATAATATGGTATAATCATCCCCTGTATCAAACAAAGTACGCTTCTTATCTTTGCTTTGTATTCATTTTCTCACGTGGAGATTAAATGACAATTACCTTTGACTATTATTTACCCGAAAATAGTAATGTCAAATCATAGCAATGTAATTCCCTTTATCGTTGAAGTTATTTCAATCTACGAGGGTATTTTCATTTTCTTCTTTCCTGAATCATTTATTTATAAATATATTTATAGAATGTACGCTTTAAATAGAATCCATATCATTGTTTAATTGTAAATCTTTTTTTTTTTTTTTTTCTTTTACATTTATAGTTTTTATTTATTGCTAAATTGAGCCATCAAAGAAAAAAAAACGTGATTTACAAAATTAAAGTTATTCTTATCTAAACAAATAAAGTAACCTAAAGTAGCACAACGCATAATATTTGGTGTTACTTTCTTAATTCGTCGAACACATATTTTTAATCACTATAATCATAAAAAAGTCGCGGAGAGCTTTTTTTTTTTCTTTTTTTTTTTAGAGCAATAATATGATTGTAATAATAATAGTAATAATAATAAATTTAATCATGATTTCATCTTTTTTTAACAATCATGACGAAATATTTATACTTGGTAATATTCATGTAAAATTTAAATAAAAAAATTTTTATTT